GAGGATAAGCCTTCGGCTGCCGAAGCGCCAAACCCTGCAAGCCACAAGTTTGACCAGGCACCCCTTAATTGTCGTCAGTGTATATTAAGCAGCTACACTTTGCAATTGTGATATCCTGCTTGGCTGCAGTCCAAAGACACTTTGGAGAAGTTCACCAATTCTGTCATGACAAAGATTGGCAAGTTGCGGTCGCTCGTGAAAGACCTTCAGAAAAATTTCCCGAACAGTGCGGACGCCAAGCAGCCCCTGGTCATGACTTGAAGACCACATCGTTTCAGAAGGTAACAAACTCTAGAGCAACAGCGATCCCAAAGCCCCAGTAACCCTGGCAACCAAGGTCCATCGGAGTGCTCGACACTGCTATCAAGGCTGTCGAAGGACAATATGATCTTTGCAATGAACTCAAAACGCAAGTGAACATGCTGGGTATGTCCGAAGCGCCCGCCGGCTTCAAAATAGTTCTCTGTTATATGCCCAATGGTCTGCCCGAATCACCCAGGTCACCCAGAGATTTATCCTAGATCAAGGGTTCGCACCTGCATATAATCGATCTAAATCGCATATGAGCCCTTATAGCCCTTAAGCCCCTAAGCACCCTAGATAATCCTAAACTATGTAGATGCAGTCCTGACACGGAGCCCAGGCTGTACAACAAGGTGGAGGATCGCATGAAGCAGGCCACGCTCGTGTCCCTCGGCTTCACAAGTGTGCAGACACCAACACAAGACCGTACAAGACCCACGATCCTTAAGGTGTAGTCGTGCTGCATCTTCCGAAGCGAAGATCCGGACTGTTCCGTTTTTTGCTATGCGATGTTGCAGTTGCACCGGTTTCGACAAACCCTTTGCGACTGAACCTCTTCGGCAGGACGGCCCGGAAAAGCTACCTCAAGCAAGCGCCCGCGGATCCGAAGCAGAAGCCCAACAAGTCCCCCAAGACTGACACTCCGTCTGCAAAGAAGGCGGCCAAAGCAAAGGCCAAGACTTCAAAGTAGTCGAGGGTTTAGGTGTCTGCGCCAAGACGTGTGCTGTTCTCCAGGGCAGTGGCAATCGCCACTGCTTTTCTGGTTTGCAATTCAGATTTCTTTGCAATCTAACATGCGAAGCTGCAGCAGGGAGCCGTGGGGAAAAGTCAAGTTGTGCAGGTCACGACATGGCCCAGCCAATCAAATCCGAAAGCTTAAGCATAAGTCGAAGCTTCGTTGCCACGCCAGGTCCCAGTTCGTCTAGCCATACAATTCGCGGGCTCAGCCACGACATTGGCGAGGGGGCCCGAAGCTCAAAGTGCAGGCTGCATCTCTGAGGAAAGTGTTTGGGTGCTTGGCATGCCTGTCTCTGAAAATGAATACATCATTGACGATCCATCCGAAGCCTCTTCGTATTCGTATTGAGTAGAAAACCCTTAGAGGATTTTCCTTGGATGTCGTTGGTTTCTGTCGGCAATGGATGCTGCAGATGAAACAGAAAGCCCCGAAGATGAACTTTGGGATCTCTTTACGAGCCATCGTGATGATGCCACTCCTGCATTATTCTTTACACCTTCGCTTTGCTGTCAGACTGTTCCAGTTCATGCTTTGTGGCCAACATCAAACTTAGGACAGCGTCGCTCCATTCCCGTGGGACAGGTCGGTCTCGAACCCTGGTGTTTGCGGCAGACCAGTAAGCTGTAGCAAACCAACCCCGAAGGTGCAAAAGACTATCAATAAGGTTCGTTCTTCGGCAGAACAGCAGAGCATCAAGAGCATTGAGCGGAACGCTGGTTTACGAAACGAGAGGAACCTTCGCGATTATCTGGAGGACTCCAAGGGGCTCACTGAAATTCACAAGCGATGCCTTGAAGCTCAGTGTATCTCCTTCACTTTGCCACCGATGGGTTCTACTGCCGGCAAGGTTTTGAAACACGCGACTTTCGAGGTCGAGAGACTTTTCAAAACACACGAGCCGCTAATCTTTAAGTTGGGCTACACCCACGACCCGGCATTTCGGTGGTCCAACGCCATATACGGCTACAAGAACGATCCTGCTCGATGGTCAAATATGGTGGTTCTGTTCGTTTCTCCAGAACCTTGTGGACCTGCGATGCTCGAAGCTTGCCTAATCGACAAGTTCGTCAGTCGTTTGGCTGCATATAGATCACCTATATAAGTTTTTAACTCGTGCTGTTTTCTATTTTCATGCAGAATGAATGAGAATCTGAACACAGTCGAGGTCGACAGGGTTGTCGAAACGTCAAATCTGGTGGTGACACAGTGGAAGCTTCCTCGCGCGACTCAGAAGATCGCTTCATGACATATATAGTGTACAGATCCTTTAAATATCCTCCTCATCGTGCCTCTGTATAGACCCACCATTCCGAATTTTACCGATAGGAGTCTTGTACAGTAAGAAGTTTCACGACTGAAAACAGGTGCTTCGCGAGCGCTCCGGGGAACGAGTGCTAGAAAAGTTTGGTTTGCAAGCCGTTCTGTTTGCCGTTTGCATTCATGTTTGTGCAACCTTGATCGTTCTGTTCGTTGCCCGATCCTTAATCAATTCGTGTCCGCCCAGGCCACTGCCAGATCGGCAATCCGGACTGCGAGAAACGTGGTCAAGGACGTTGGTTTGGAGAAGGCTCGTGGCATAGGCGGCTTGCTTCCGCTAGCGCGAATTTCGGAAAATCATAGCGAAAGGGATTCTCATTCCTTGCTTTCGAAGAAGCTCGGCCTCGCTTTGCCGATTCCTTTGTCAGAGACGCCGAGCGAAGAAAACGATGGAGAGCCGCCGAAGCGATTTCAAAGGCTTAGTATGGTGGACTGGGTTCGCTATTTCTGCAAGCACAATCATTGGCATGTTCTAGCAGGCCTACGCAAACCTGACAAAGTTCGTGAGGAGAAGATATGGAAGGCCTGGTGGGAACGGTATCGAATCCACGAGCCTTCACACCCCATTTTTGCAGCTGCTGATGCGAACAAAATAGATCTATGCAAGACCGCCGGGGTCCTTCTTCACGGGGACGAAGGGCGCGGCCGCCGCCGCGCCGCATTTTTTATCTTGAGTTTTCATTCAATCATTGGAAGGGGCACGCTTCAGTCCTTGGGAAAGACAAACAAGGTTTTGCATTCATCTACAAAAAAGACCCGGAAACCGTATCTGAAGATGAGCTTGAACTTTGTGGGGCATTCCTACACGAATCGATTTATCACCGCAGTACTTCCTCGAGCAGCTTATGGTGAATGCGACAGACATTTCTATGATGCGTTGTCCGCGGCCTATGGTGATGCAAAATATTTGGAGACCGTGGGCGTGGAAGATAGGCAAGGCGATCGACGCTTTTTGTGTCTCCTGAAGACAGTAGGTGATTGGCCGTTTTTGGCCAAGGCCGGGCGTTTGCAGAGAACATATGCCAACAGTATAAAACAAATCAACCAGGCAGCGGTGGGGGTTTGTCACCGCTGCGAAGCGGGGTTTCCTCATGCCCCGTTTGAGCAGATCGGAACAAGGCGGCCGGCATGGTTGCGTACAGTCAACGCTTCGTCGCCTTTTGCCGGCATGCCTTGGCCTCCAGCTGTTAAGGTTGTGGAGAACACGGAGCGCCTTGCCGAGCATTATGCATTCGACTTGTTTCATACATTTCATTTGGGAGTTGGCAAGTATTACGTGGGGAGCGTCTTGGCCATTCTATCAAATTTGGAAAGCGGAAATGTGGAGCAAAGATTCCAGCAGGTCACCGCCAAGTATCGGGAATGGTGTGGAAGGACCGGACACACTATGTTCGTTTCGAAACTGACGAAAGACTCGATTGCATGGGAGGCAACATCCGATTTTCCATGTGGAGGATGGTTTAAAGGTGACTTGACAACCACGCTTCTGGAGTGGATTGAAAGCCTCGAAGGCTCGGTGATGGATCCGTTGTTTGTTCTGTCAATGGATGCAACGAAATCCATAAACCTTTTCTTCCGGATTCTCTACTCGGAAGGTGTGTGGTTGTCCGTCGAAACAGCAGCGCGGACTGGGCAGCTCGCGAGCAAATTCCTACGACGCTACGAAGAGCTGGCGAAAAAAGCACACTCTGATCAATTGACTTTATTTGCGATGCCACCGAAATTGCACTCGCTTCATCACTTTGCCATCGACTTGCTCACCTCCGCAAATGCCAACCGCATGGCGTTGAACCCGCTCGCACTGAGTACTCAGATTTCCGAAGATCTGGTCGGGAGGCCTTCGAGGTTAAGCAGACGCGTCAGCTCTCGGCTTGTTGTGCAACGAACACTGGAACGTTATTTGCAGTCGTGCCATGCTAAGTGGGTCGCTGCAGGACTGCTCATCGAGACGGCGTCCAAGTGATGCGAGAAAACGATTGTGGTCGAGCGAGCATGCATCGGCATCAGATTCATTCA